CAATACTTCATTCTTTTCATGATTACTATTCCTTTGTATATATGTACCACATCTTATTTATCCATTCATCTATCGATGGACATGGGCTGTTTTCATATGGTGGCTATTGTGAAAAATGCTGCAGTGAACACAGGGGTGCATGTATCTTTTCAAACTAATGTATTCATTTTCCTTGGATAAATACCCAGAAGTAGAGTTACTGGATCATACAGTCTTTCTTTCTTTCTTTCTTTCTTTCTTTCTTTCTTTCTTTCTTTCTTTCTTTCTTTCTTTCTTTCCTTCTTTCTTTCTTCTTTCTTTCTTTCTTTTTCTTTTTCTTTCTTTCTTTCTTTCTTTCTTTCTTTCTTTCTTTCTTTCTTTCTTTCTTTCTTTCTTTCTTTCTTTCTGTAATCTAGAAAAGTGAACTCTTGATATATGTAACAACATGGATGATTCTCAGAATAATTATGTTGAGGAAAAGAAATCAGACCAAAAAAAGAGTACAGACTGTTTGATTCAATTTGTGTAAAAGTCTAGAACATCTAAAGTAATCTATAGAGACAGGAAGCAGATTACTGACTGCATGGGTGGATTGGTATGACGGATCAGAGAGGAAGGACAGAGAACTTACAAAGGGGCAAGAGAAAATTTGGGGCGGGGGGGCGGAGGTGATTGAGATGTCCGTTATTCTTTTTTAATTTTTTAATGCTTATTTTATTTTTGAGAGCGAAAGACAGAGCACTAGCAGGGGAGACACAGGCTAACAGCTCAGAGCCCGATGCGGGGCTCAAACTCTTGAACCGTGAGATCATAACCTGAGCCAAAGTCAGCCACTTAACTGATTGAACCACCCAGGCACCCCTGAGGTATTATTTTTCTGATGGTTTTGTAGATGTAACATATATCAAAATATCAAGTTACATAATTTTAATATGTGCAGTTTATTGCGTGTCAGCTCCACATCAGTATAGCTATAAAAGAAGGAATTTGGAAACCCTAAGTAAAGAAACAAAAAGCAAAGGAAAGAAATACCAGTTGCAAAGCATTGTAGTGAGGTCCTGGAATGATACTGGCACATTCAGCCTGTGGGAGGAAAGGTAAAGGGCCCTAGGAAAGCGGTCTAGAGGAAAGGGTGGCCCCACACGCTAACAGTGCAGAAATATCAAGGATCTGAGAAAGGTACAATATTCAGGCAAAAGAAACAGCCATTATAAACCCTAGGGGGGAAGACAATCAATTAAAAATTGACATTGTCCCAAATAGGAAACCGAAATAAAATTTGATGTCATTTTTAAGAGTAACCGGCAAATAAAAGAAAAAATGGAATCCAATCAGCTTTGCTACTGGGGCTCCTCTCTGTCAGTGACCCAATAGTGAACCTTCACACACACACACACACACACACACACACACACACACACACTCACACACACACACACTCACACACACACAAACTATAGTCTGAGCTTCTACTTGGCCTGGCAGAGAACATATTTACACAGTTAAGAGAAAAGAAATGCTGTTTATTAGTTGCCAACTTTCTTTTTTTTTTTTATGTTTGTTTTATTTTTGAGAGAGAGACAGAGTGTGAACAGAGGAGGGGCAGAGAGAGAGGGAGGGAGAGTATCCTAAATGAGGATACTGACTCCATGCTGTCAGCACAGAGCCAGACGCGGGGCCTGAACCCACAGACCGTGAGATCATGACCTGAGCCGAAGTCGGACGCTCAACCAACTGAGCCACCCAGGCGCCCCCATTTGCCAACTTTCAAAAACAACGTATGAACCTTATGGAGGTCTTGGTTGATGTTAACAATCTCCATGACATAAAAGCAAGACTGTGGAAGGGAGGAGGTGGGGGTACAAGAAAGCATAGGAATGGTAATGTTTTCATTTCATGTGAGGGAGGAGTTGAAATACTCAGCAAAAGATCATGAAACAACAAAAAGGGGTATAAATGCATCATTTCAAGTCACAAAGATAACTCAGAGCAGAACTAAAAATAACAACGTGTTCTTCAAAATTGGAAGGGAGAAGCTCAGAATTAGCATTTGTGTACATGAGCAGAATCCTTATCTCGCATAGGAATGAATCAGTGGCTATTGGCTGAGGTTGGTAATACAAAATTGGAAGAATAGGCATAATGTTTAGAGTAATGGCCATCGAAGGCATAAAACTCAGAATTAATGGAAAGAAACAGCCTCTGGGATATGAGCCCGGGGACAGAAATGGCCTTCAGGAGCCCCATTGCTTTTCATCACAAATCCGGATGAGTTGCTACCACACGCATGCATCAGTCTGAGGAAAATTACAATTAAAATAATTACGGGATAGCCACTCAGAGCACTTATTCCATGGACAATGGCCACCCGGGGGAATCTGAAGTATGACGATTAGAGATAGTGATAGTGCCATTTCCAAAAACATTTCATTCATTACCCTTGGCCAAGGCGTACCAAGAGAGTTGGCCACACAGTGGCTTCAGGCAGTGTAGGAGAGGCTCCTGAAGGCCACGCAGCTCATGTCCCCTCCCTGGCATTGAGCACCGTTGCCTTCCTCACCACCTGACTGGGGTGCGGCCAGCCCGTCCCCCATCACACTGGCTCCTCGTCTCACTGGGGCCCAGCCCCGCCGAGGTCTCCTTCCCTCCTGCCCAATTCCCACTGGAGTCTCTTCCCAGGCACTTTCCTGATTGGACTTTTGTCTCGTCAGGAGTGACCCCTGGTGGTGGGAGTCGGCAGTTATCAGCCTGTTACACCTCAGTCGCCCCCTTTACCCCTGAGGTGAGGCTGTGTTGCTTTGTCCCTTCTCCAGGCCTGCCGGTCACCCCCACTTCCTGGCTGGGGGTGGCCAAAGTTCTCCTTGCTCTACTTCTGGGCATCCCTGTGGTGTAATTATACACACGACCTGGTTCGCCCAGTGAGGACTGGGGGGCTGCTCTGTCTTGTGTCCTCGGGTTCTCCTTCCAAAATGCACTGGATGGAACACGAAATATCCCCCACTTCCACCACCACCCCCTCCTTACCATCCTTCCTCCTCACCCATCTTCCTCTGTGTTCTCAGACCTCCCTGCTTTGTCCCACCAGGGCGCCCACCTTGTTCCCTTCCAGCCCTCCAGCCCCTGACCGGGTAAGAGGTCTTCCCTTGAGCTCCAGGGGGTAGAACCCAATGTTTACATTCTCTTCCGTCTCTGCCCCCACCCCACGCAGTGCTTTGAGGAACCAGAAAAGAATCTGCTGCTGTCAAAAAAGTATATGCAGATATGTACCCTAACCCTTCCTTCAACCGCAAGTGCTCACCGAGGGGTTTGCTTGTTTCTACAAGGCTGTGGGAGTTGCAGATTCCATCAGTGGGCACCCTCCCTCTCGCTGCCTTTGTGCCTTCCTTTGTGCCCCCCAGTACGGGCTGGGGCCCTCTCCGCACCTTCTCCCCCGAGCTAGCTGCACGTCAGCCTCTCCGCACCAAAGGCGGATACACTTGGCAGCGCTCGTGTCCGGGCCACATTTGATTAGCAGGCCACAGAGCATGCCAGCTCTCCCACCCCCGACATCCGACATCCGGGTGTGCTAGTGCTCCCTACTTCTCCCTCCCCTCCCCCTCCACCCCCCACTCCCCTCTCCTCCAACCCCTCCCCACCTGACTAGCTGCATTTTCTTCTTTGTGGGACACGTTTGTTTCTCGGCAGTGAGATTGTGTTTCTATAAGCCATGTGGAACTTTGTTGTTTTGTAAAAAAATATCTTTAAAAATCGTACAAACAGGGGGCACCTGGGTGGCTCAGTCAGTTAAGTAAGCATCCGACCTCGGCTCAAGTCATGATCTCACAGTTCATGGGTTCAAAGCCCTGCATTGGGCTCTGTGCTGACAGTTCAGAGCCTGGAGCCTCCTTCTCTCTCTGCCCCTCCCCTGCTCAGGCTCTCTCTCTCTCTCTCTCTCTCTCTGAGATTCTTTAAATAAACAAACTTAAAAAAGTATAAAGGGGGCGCCTGGGTGGCTCAGCTGGTTAAGCATCTGACTTCAGCTCAGGTCATCAGATTGCAGTTCATGAGTTCCAGCCCCTCGTCTGTGCTGACAGCTAGGAGCCTGGAGCCTATTTCGGATTCTGTGTCTCCCCCTCTCTCTGCCCCTCCCCTGCTTGTGCACACACTCTCTCCTTCAAAAATAAATAAATATTAAAGATAGGTAGATAGATAGATAGATAGATAGATAGATGATAGATAGATAGATACATAGATATAAAGGAAAAATAAAAAATCAGATGAGCATACAAAAAACACCAAGTGTCAACTTAGTGGTTCTTAAACATCTGAAATTAAACAACCGGGAGGGCAAATCTCCATGGGTGTGGGGGACAAGAGTAGGGTTTGTTGGCCAAGCCCCGGAAGGGACAGTAAAAGGCTCTCTATTTTCATATTGTGATATAATTGCTCCGGGCCTCCATTAGTTCTGTCGGAAAATGAGGAAAAAACAGGATCTCCCTTAAAACCAGATACTGCTTGCAAATGGCGCCTTCCTGAATTAAAAACATTACCAGAACGATGTTAAAGGTTGACATTTCCTGATCTATCACATGTCATCCTCCTTTGTCTTGTCTTCAAAGTAGTCTTTAAGAAGCTATTTTTGTTTCCAAACCCAGAAGCTGACTTGCTTTTTAAAGCCAGTTTGCTTATCTAATAGATTCCCCTAATTCATCAAATTTAGAAATAAATACAGAACTTTAAGCTGTTCTAAGCTATGATTTCAGTTGGACTCGTTTCCACGAGAACTCAGTAAGCTCCACACGGCGTGTACTGGAGCTCTTAAACCAGAAAAGTGACATTTATGAATGACCGTGGCTGCCGCGAATTTGCAGGCGCGTCTCTTCTGCTTCTCTTTCCCAGACGAGCTGACGAGGACCCAGAATGTTAGTGCTAGCGGGGGCCATGGACAACATTCGCTGTCGCCTGGCCTGTGCCTGACTCAGACACTGGTAAACAAAAGAGACTTTTTTTTCTCTCTCCCCGTCTCTGTCTCTGTCCTGCAGAATCCCAGCCCAGGATTATTTCCTGTGATGCATCCTCTGACCTACGCAGAAACCTTGATAGACTACCACCTGTGCTCCCACCCCAAGTACAAGTTCACCAAGGAGTGCCACAGCGGGTCCAGCATTCCTCTCACCCAAAAGCAGTTTCTCCATCACACGGTAATGCCGGTGGTGGGCGCGCTGGCGGGGCTGGCCGGGGAAGGGCAGGGGACAAGGAGGGAGGGTCACAGCTGGAGTGACCTGTCCAGAGCCACCTCTTGGGCTGCGTGTGGCCCTTCTTTCAACTTTATCGCCCTCTTTTACCCATGAAAGCTGCGTCTGCCATTCATTTTCTCTTCATTGTTATCCCTGTTTCAACCATGTAGAAAATGGTCACGTGCCAGGCGTAACTCCACAACCTGATCTCCTCTTTCTTTGGCTCTGACAAGGATAGAAACATCTGAAAGGGCGAGGTGGTAATGTGACCGAGGCTCCTGGGAAACTCCCTCCCCTCTTAGGTGACCAACTTGACCTGAATGTCCAGAGACATCTCTTATAGGGGGCCCTCAGGCCCTTCAAAGTCAAGAAGTCCCTAACTCAGATCATGATCTCTGCCCTGCGTGTCTGCCAGCCACACCTCATACCGCCTCCCCCTCCTTGGCTGCCCCCTTGCCTTTCTGTTCTCTGTGTTCATGTGCAGTGACCCATGTGCTCCTTAGTCCCTTCCTCTCCTTCCTTCCCTGTACCTGTCCATCACTGGACCCGTGTCTACCCCACGCAACAGGTGAGCCTCCTTCTACTTCAACCCAAGGATTGACCATGCAATCGGCCCTCCCTGGAAACCTTCCCTTGACACAAATTGGGTCCTGTTGTTTGCCGGTGCAATGACCCTCGGTGGTCCCTCCTGCCCGAGGGCGCGCTCCAAGCGCATTGGCTTGTCCCCCAGGCCCTTCCTGCCTGGCCTGCCTGTCCAGACTCACTTCCTACCAGGCCCCATCTCACCCTGCACTCAGCCACACTAGTGGTACCCTGACAGTGCCCTCCTTCGCATCTCTGTGCATTTGCGGGCACTTCGCCCTGCCCGGAATGCCCCTTGATGAGCCTCCATCACTCTGAATATTGCTTAAGTATCACAGTCACCCATCTGTCTTCCATCGCCAGGACAATCTTCTTGTCTGCCTAGTGCATCATGCGAGAGAAAAGCTCTCCGTCATCCCTACTTAAGTTCCGTACAGCATTGTTTAGTGCCCTTTGCTAGAGAAGTTGTCTTTTAGCCTCGGAAAACATCAGTCGAACTTAATGAAATTATAAATTTGGGGGTTTGGGGCGCCTGCGTGGCTTGGACGGTGAAGCATCCGACTTCGGCTCAGGTCACGATCTCACGGTTCGTGAATCCAAGCCCCAAGCCCCACGTCAGGCTCTCTGCTGTCAGCACAGAGCCCGCTTCGGATCCTCTGGCCCCCTCATCCCGCCCCTCCCTCGCTCACATGCAATCTTTCTCTCTCAAAAATAAATAAACATTGAAAATAAATAAATAAAATTTGGAGGTTAACTTTCAAGACTGCAAAAAAAGCCAGTCGACTGAAACAGAAGTCCTTCCTGGACTTTACCCCACCACACAGTTCCCTTCTAAGTCAGACCCTATGCGGGCTTTCCCTACAGGACATCATTCCCGGAACGATGCAGTGGCGCAAGTTCCAGCCCCTGGCCATCTCGTTCCTGCCTGAAACCTCGAAGACAGACACCACACAGCGGTAAGCCACAGCTCATCTGTTTGTCTCCCAGGGGCGCGTTTGCCCTACGGATTACAGAGGTTGAGCTCCTCAAAGTTAAATGCCAATAATGCATCAAATCCTACTTCACCTTTATGTGCACGAGGGAAGTTTGCTAGTTAGAGAAATAGGATGATGTATGGCTGATTCACGTGTTTTGAATGATCATAATTGAAATCTACTTGTTAAAAAAAACCACGAATGTCACAAGTGGTTGATTGGCCGTATTTCAATAAACGTGGACGACCAATCTCTATGATTCAGCTGAAATATTCAGGGCCGGTTTTTAACCTTTTTTAATTGCCGGGATGAGCTTGCAACACTTCCCTATCCAATACCAGGGCACGTACTACTCTCTCTGCCCCAGCCTGGCATTCCCTGTGAGGTCCCCCAGCTGCAGAAACAGGATGGGTAAATGAGAATATTGTTGGAGCAAAGAAAGAAGAAATGTAGAGTAACCACATGTTCGCTCGTTTGCTTATTTAGCACCTCTTCAGAGCCCTAAGACCTCAGACAAGGAGGCTGGTGCCTTTTCTCTGGGACTCTGGCCGATCAGTAATGCAGTCCTGAGCCTCTGAACTTGCTTCTCTAGTCCATTGCCCTTACAAGCATAATAGGTTATTGGTGAGTGAATGTGACTGCTTTCCACAATGATGGCTATCAGCAGTCACCTTCCATTCGAGTTCAAGTTCTTTGATCCAAAATGAGGCCACCCCCAGGGAAACCTGACCTCTGCCATTATCCAGCATCCGCAGGTGAGCACCACCCCCTGACTTCCACCCAGATTTCCTGATCTTCCCAGACGCAGTAACTCAAGACCCTGACCCTGCCCCCCCCACCCCCCCTACCCCCCCCACCCCGGGCCAGGGCCACTGGGCCACAGCTCCCCGTCCTCTTGTCCATTAAAACCAGGGGATTGGATGGTGGTAAAAACCCTGCTCAGCCTGGACATTTTTATTTTAGTAGGAGTGAGAGAGCTCCCTGGATGTGCAGTGACCCTGTGTATTTTACCCATCCACCCGCCCTCCCCAGGCAGTCGAGGGGATCCGTGAAAGCCCGTGTGTGACTCTAGCCCACTGAATTTTACTTCTTTCTTCATTGCCGGAAGAAAAGCTGGTCCCGAATTAAGCAACATTCAGCCACACTTCCCCAGGCATTTCCATGTACTATTTAAAAAAAAAAAAAAAAAAAAAAAAACCACCCAGCCTAGGATTTGCGATCTGGTTGGCGCTCAAGAATCTTAGTTCCTTTTCTGTGGGTTCATCCATACTTCATCAACATAAACTCCGCATCTTTGTTCTTCACCGAAGCATATTTTTAAAACCTGAAATCTCCAGAATGAGGAGAAGCAATGGCACGGTAGAGAGAATGAACGCCTTGGCGACCTGGCTTTGTAACCCATTAGCAGGTCACCTGCCCTGTGTCCTTGGGCGAGTTACTTATTACTGAAGCCCTTTGAGCAATCATTCCCTCACCTGTGAAACAGGGAGAACAGTGGTGTCCTCCTGGACTCTTGTGCAGACCAAAGTTAAATGATGATGTGAAACGTCTAGCACAATCCTTGATAATAATTCTTCCGGGCCCTTCTACCTTCCACCCCCGCCACTAAATCTTGCAGTGACTATGCTGCCACTAGATGGCGATGGTCTGCCAGCACCTCGACGCACTGCCTCCCTTGGTGTGGAGTGAGGATGCTGTCCTCGCTCAGGTCATCAGTAAGCGAGGCATAGCTGGCTGTGGTACCATCAGGAGGCTGAATAAGCAAAATGACCAATGGATAAATGGTCCACCAACCCTTGGCACGCACAAGTCTCAAGAGTTAAGGAGGAAAAATCCTTTTTTTTATTTTCCCAAACCAATGTCCTTGGAAAATTTTCCTGAGGCTGTTCTTTCAAAATGCAGCCAGAATGCAGTTACCCTGGGCTTGAATCAACCATGAATTAAACATGAATTCTACATGAATTAAAGAAAACCCTCCAACTCTGAGTTGTTAGTTTCAACTTCTGTGAAGTTCAACTGAGTGCTCTGCAGGGCCAGTTTGTTTCAAAATAAACCATAATTGCGTAACAGATTATAAAATCAAGAGACGATTCTACATTTCCTTCTCATGGATTTCCATGATGTCAGATTCCAGACCGCGGTTTTATTTTTAAAGGCAGTTACAAAATACTACTGGTATTCTTTTGTAAGTTCTTACAGATCCATTAATGATAGTTCAACTTTGCATTCATTTTGCTTCAATAAATTACCTATTACTTAGGAGATGTTTCTTTTGCTCCTGAGAACTATCTGTTGTTAAGACCATGCGATATAGTTATTTACTGCTTCTTTATTCCAAGTCATTTTTGTATCCATAATGATCAAAATAGCTCGCTTGGCTTCTCTGCTCTTTAATAAATTCAGGGTGAATTTTTTGCATCTTTAGGACCTCCCTAAACATCGTGAGAGGCAGCAGTGGAAGAAATCACCTAATCCAGTAGCACCTCAACTTTTGGATTTTTTAAATAATTTTTTAATGTTTATTTTTGAGAAAGAGAAACAAAGGATGAGTGGGGGAGGGGCAGAGAGAGAGGAAGATACAGAATCCAAAGCAGGCTCCAGGCTCTGAGCTGTCAGCCCAGAGCCCCATGCAGGGCTTGAACACACGAATCACGAGATCATGATCTGAGCCGAAGTTGGTTGCTTAGCTGACTGAGCCACCCAGGCGCGCCCCCCCCCCCTCAACTTTTGGATTTTATAGACGAGTGAAACATCTAGAAGAATTCTGAGAACCATTTTTACAGCCACCTGAGTTTTGCTTTGCCAAGAAAGGCATTAAAACAAAGCAAAGCAAAAGAAAGCGCCCAATCACCATCAACTGTCTCCACCACTCCAGTTTCAGAAGAACGTATTAGTACACACAAAAAAGTAAAAGGAATATGGTCTCAGAATTTAAAAATCAGATAGTTTGGTCTCATGAAAATTGCTTGCCGGGCCATGTTCCCCAAGCAGCCTTTTCTCCGGACAGAGGGATCCGAGCTTCCCACTTCTCAGTCCCTTTTCTTGTCCAGAATCCCCTGTGACACTGGCAGTGAGTGGGCTCGTCTGTTAGGACCTTTGTCATGAAGTCAGTAAATAGAATTAATCCCTGGGTGGTGGCACCCAGGTCCCCTTCAGTAAGAAATGGTGTTAAAACCAAAACCTGGGTGCTAGGGGCGCACAGTGCTAGTTGGGGGGTTTGTTTCTTGGCCTCCTTAGCAGACACGCCAGAGAGTGTATATGGGGAAATACACACACATGCACGCACATATACGTGTGCACATAAGCACACGTACACACATGTTAGAAACTATGAATTCGCAGCAATGCTTGTTAACACCAGTCTTATCCATGAAGTTATTGCCTGCTGTAATTCTGTATTTGTTTGTCCCTTCTTCCACTGTGAGAACCTTGGCTCCCAACGCATTTGCTCATTACTCAGTTTCCTAGTACGTCCAAGATAGTTTCAGAATTGCTGCGTCGATAACCATTTCAATAAATAAGCATGATAAATGGAGTTCAAGTTTATTTCCAGTTTGCCTTGTGCCCACATCCCACCAAAACTATGCTCGGACCATCAACTACTGTATTTATAAGTTTCTTGGATTAGTTCTTTCTTTTCCTTTTCCTCTCTTTCCTTCCTTTTCTTCTTTTTTTCCTTTCTTTTTCTCCCTTCCTTCCTTTCCTTCCTTCCTTCCTTCCTTCCTTCCTTCCTTCCTTCCTTCCTTCCCTTCCTTCTTTCTTTTCTTTTCTTTTCTTTCTTTCTTTCTTTCTTTCTTTCTTTCTTTCTTTCTTTCTTTCTTTCTTTCTTTCTTTCTTTCTTTCTTTCCCTCCACTGTGATTGTGGAAGTCATGTAAAATATCATTTGCTTCAGTTTGCTTTCCCTTTGGGGTTTTCCCCCTTCCCTCTGTTATTCATTTATTCTCATTCCTTTTCTTAATATGTAGAATAATAACATATTTTCCAAATTCAAAACTACACAAAACAGCATCCTCAGAGAAGTGTCCGCGCCGGCCACCTCCCTCCTTCCTTATCAGTAACCAGCTCTGTCTTCTGACTTACTCTTCCAGTTTTGCTAATGCTAATCAGAATATATGTATTTTCCTAATTTCCCCAACTTCTAAAATAACAGTATTTTTTCTCCCTCTTTAAATTATTTTAATGTGCTCGGGGCGCCTGGGTGGTCAGTCAGTTAAGTGTCTGACTTTAGCTCAGGTCATGATCTCACAGTTTGTGAGTTCGAGCCCCATATTGGGCTCTGTGCTGACAGCTCAGAGCCTGGAGCCTGCTACAGATTCTGTCTCCCCTTTTCTCTCACCCTCCCCTGCTCATGCTCTGTCTGTCTCTCAATAATAAATAAAAAGGTTAAAAAATTCTTTAATATTAATGTGCTCGATACCTGGAAATTTTTATATAAAGCTCTAAATGTGTAATACCAACCAATATATAAGAGGGTTGGAGGAAGGTTTGAAATTGAATAGAACAACAAAGGGAGACTGCAAAGATGGGAAAAAATTATTAAGAATAAAAAGTGAGGGGCACCTGGGTGGCTCAGTCGGTTAAGCATCTGACTTCGGCTCAGGTCATGATCTCACGGATCATGGGTTCGAGCCCTGCATCAGGCTCTGTGCTGAGAGCTGAGAGTCTGGAGCCTGCTTCAGATTCTGTATCTCTCTCTCTCTCTCTCTCTGTCTCTGACCCTCCCCTGCTTATGCTGTCTTATCTCTCTCTCAAAAATAAATAAAACATTAAAAATCAAAAGAATAAAAAGTGAACTATCTAAATTCCACCCCATGCCCCCCAGGAAATGACATTATTTTAGATACTACCAGCTTGAAAGTTCTGTTTCTAAACTCTGGGAAATGGCTGACTTGGCCACATTCTCGCGGATTTGACTGGTACCTGTTGTGCCCCCTGCATTTGTCTGTAGGGAAACACGGGGGTGGGAGGGGGGTGGGGGGGGCGCGGTTCAGGAGTGAGGGACAGAATGGTCAAGTCCTCCGCAGTGGTAAAGTAAAAGTGCTTTAGAAAGTTATGTCAGGATCCCTAGACTGTGAATGTGAGCGTTTATCCCGGGCTGACTGTGTGATTCTTCCACAGCTGGGACCCCTACAACACAGTCATGCTTCCTCTACATGCCCCTGCCATTCTTGAGGCCCTACGAGAAGAAGACAGATTGGAAACAGCAGAACGGTACTTTTTTACCTTTGGTTTCTAACGTGGTCTGTGTTACGAAAATACACTAGGTGCTGACTCCAGAAGAGCACACCGTGCCAACCCAAATGACTTCAGGCTAACGCCCACCCACCCTACTGAGGGGATGACACGCTGAATTCACGGTCAGGAACAGACAGTCTCTGCAGCTTCATGTTTGACAATCCTTAGGTGCCCCAGGAGCTCAAAGGAGCCGGAGAGCAGAGGGGGTGCTAAGTGGCCTTGGAAGGCTTCAGTGGTTATGTGGACTTGGGTTAGTACTTGAAAAAGGGTAGGATTTGGAGAAGCATAAAAAACTATAGGCCCCTCTAAAATTAAAAAAAAAATAAAGAGGAGGTGGCTGGGTGGCTCAGATGGTTAAGCATCCAGCTCTTTAATTCCACCCAGGTCATGATCCCAGGGTTTTGGGATCGAGCCGAGCCCTGCGTCGGGCTCCACGCTGAGCATGAAGCCTGTTTAAGATTCTCTCTCTGTCTTTCTCCCCGCCCCTCCTCCTCCCCACCACACTCTCTCTCTAAAGTTAAAAAAATATATATTTTTTTAATAAAAAAATAAAACTATAGGCCCCAAACCCAGGCGCTTAAGTTTGATTTCACTGTTGAGCATCCAACAGCCAGTAGAAATACACCCTTGAATCTTCTGTCACTGTGCCCATTTCAATATTCTTACGTGTAAAGAATCCATTAGAGAAATCCTAAGTATCTGAGGCAGATATCCAGTACTCGGACCTGCCCACACGCAGTGACAGTTGGCAATTACCTGAGCACTTGAAACCCTGAACCCAGGTCTGGATGTGAAGCTTGAAGTCTCTTCTGTGCAAACCACCGTCTGTGGCCATCGCTAAGGATGCTGCATCCCGGGCGGGACGGGACACATCTGCCCGAGATTCAGAGGCCTTGGGGAGGTGCCCAGGAGGCCAGAACTTAGCCGACGCTCCGCTCAGCACTGATGTGGGGACGATCGTGGCCCAGTGTCTGCCTCTGTGAAGGGAGAATAAGAGTACTTGTTTTGTGTGGGTTGTCAAAACTGCAGGAGCTCATGCTGATGCCGATGACAGGGTGGTAATTATAACAAACATCAAAAGCACTACCTGTGCATCAGGCGCAGCACTTGGTACACAGTCTCATTTACTTCCCGAGATGAGGTCTTCCAATCATCCCCAATTCAGAGACAGGAAACGACTTGCAAGAAGATGGTGTTTGCAGAGCCCCGGCCTGTGGCTGCTTAGGAATCCTGAGTTTTCAATCATATGGGACGGGGATAGCTTTTGTGGCTTTCCAGGGTCCTTTTCATCACACAGACTTGCTGTGCCACTTCTGTCTGTCAGTGCTGAATGGTGTTTCTGCTTCTCATTCCAAACTTGGAGGCCTTTCTGTTGATCTCAGAAGCATTTCTCTTCACCGAGCCACTATCACAAAATCCACTCTCTTCTTCTGAAGCAACAGAGTTGTTGAAACCAGAAGTTACATTTCCCAGGCTCCCTTGTAAGGAAGTTATCCATTTGACTAGGCCCCGGCCCAAGGAATGTGAGGAGATGTGAGATATTCCGCTTCTGATCAGGACCCTCGAAGGAGGGAGTGTTTCTCCTGCACATTCTCTCTCCCTGCTCTGGACCGGCTGGAACCCATATGTGGAGTGATCCAGCTTTAACCATGAGCCAACAAAGCCCTAGGCCAGGGCTCAGCAAACTGTGGCCCATGGCCGACGCTGGCCCGCCACCTTTTCGTAAACTACGTTTTCTTGTAACATCACCACACTTGCTCATTTATGTATTTCTTATAGTTCCTTTCATACAGAAAAGCAGTTGTTGTAAAACAGGCCATATGATCTGCAAATCCCTGTATGGAAGTTTGCTGACCCCTGGCCCTGCAGAGAGCAGACCACAAGATAAATATCACCCTGATCCCTTTCATGTCTTCTTTTACTAACAGCTTATTTAGCAATATATTATTTCTTTTTTTAATTTTTAATGTTTATTCTTGAGAGAGAGAGAGAAGCAGAGCACGAGGAGGGGAGGGGCAGAGAGAGGGAGACACAGAATCTGAAGCAGGCTCCAGGCCCTGAGCTGTCAGCACAGAGCCCAAAGCAGGGCTTGAACCCACAAACTGTGAGATATGACCTGAGCCAAAGTCAGACCCCCAACCGACTGAGCCACCCAGGCGCCCCAACATTTTCAAATGTGCCCTTGAAAAGAATATGAAGTCTGTCACCCTGCTTTAAAAATTACTTTTTATTCTCTGGTTATAAATAATGATTCCTACCATTGTTTTTTGGTGGAAAGCAATTTATCAGCCTTATGCTTATCTTTTTTTTAAAGTTTATTTATTTTGAGAGAGAGAGAGAGCACACACACACACAAGCAGGGGGAGGGGCAGGGGGAGGGGAAGGAATCTCAGGCAAGCTACAGGGCTCAGTTTCACAACCATGAGATCATGACCGGAGCCAAAATCAAGAGGCGGACGCTCAACTGACTGAGCCCCCCGGCAGCCCGAGCCTTGTGCTCCTTTTAACATACACTCAACAAAAGTGGGTAGACCTAAGCTCGAAAGCCACAAGAATCGTGTAACTCTTAAACGATCACAATATTTCTCTATTTTATTTGGGGAAGGAAAATCCATTACAGCTAAGCGTCTTCTCCCTTTTCAGTGAGCTCTGCGAACAGAATGTAGATGTCACACTGACTCCAGAAATGATCGAAGCCGAATTTCCTATGTTGGATCACAAGGACACCAAAAAGGAGAAGTGAGTAGATGCTTTATGCTTAGGAGGGGGCAGCCTTCTGACAGAATGTGTCCTCCGTGATGTGCAGAAGTGTCCCGTTGTCTGAATCTCAACAGCTCACGCTTAAAGAAAAGAGAAGTTTGCATGTATCTTATTTTATGCACAATTACGTGCCCTCAAATGTGGTTGGTAAGTGAACATTTAAAAATTGAACCCGATGTTTCCATTTGCTTATCATCTGATTTCACAGGTGTGCTTGTGTTATTTTATCCATAACTGACTGCGTTTCATTCAGTGTAAGGAGCCCAGGCTCTGGAGCTGGAGGGGACCCGGGCCGAGTCTCAGCCCCACCATCGTGAGATCCAGCCACGTTGCTTACCGTGGTGTTCAGACTGTGCGGAAACTAGTCTCCCTCACAGGCAGAGTGAGGATTAAATGAGACACCAATGTGAGGACGTCTTGCCAGTTGCTGGACTTGAACTATACGCTCAGCAAACGTTAGCGCTTCCCTTCGCCTCTCCGTCAGGGGCCAACGTGCTACACAAACACCATCATCCCTCAAAAAATTGGTTTCAATGAACATTTTTGTAATGGAAGTAACCTGATATAGTTCATACGGTTTATAAGTTTGAAATTCCAAGCGTGCTTTTAAAATGTCATTTTCTTTTGGAGCACCTGGGTGGCTCAGTCGGTTGGGGGTCCGACTTCGGCTCACGTCATGATCTCACCATTCGTGAGTTCAAGCCCTGCTCGGGCTCTGTGCTGACAGCTAGCTCAGAGCCTGGAGCCTGCTTCGGATTTTGTGTCTCCCTCTCTCCCTCTGCCCCTCCCTCGCGCTTGCTTGCTCACTCTCTCTCTCTACCTCTCTCAAACATAAAAAAAAATTGCTTAAAATGTTTTTCTCTTTTAAAAAATGCCTTTTCTTTTTTAAAAAATGCCTCTTCTAAAAAAAAAAGTCTTTTTCTCTTTAAAAAAAAATGCTCATGGATGGCTCAGTCAGTCAGACGTCTAACTCTTGCTTTCGGCTCCAATTATGATCTCACAGTTCATGGGTTCGAGCCCCGTGTCAGGCTCTGGGTTGACAGTGCAGAGCCTGCTTGGGATTTTCTCTCCCTCTTTCTCTGCCTCTCCCCTGCTCTCTCAAATGTGGTCTCTCTCTCTCTCTCTCTCAATAAATAAATAAACATAAAAAAATAAAAACAAGAAAATAAAATAATTTTAAAATGCCTTTTTTATTATTAAAAAATCAGAAATACAAAAAATAAAAACAATAATACTACCTAGAGACAGTAACTTGTGTACTCTGTTATATGATCTTCCAAACATTTACTTATTTAATATCTATATTCTCCATGTATATGATATGTTAATATATATTAATAAATCATATTGATTGCATATTATGTTTTAATAAAACTTAATCAGGGGCACCTGGGTGGCTCAGTTGGTTAAGCATCTGACTTCAGCTCAGGTCATGATCTCATGGCTTATGAGTTTGAGCCCCACATTGGGCTCTGTGCTGACAGCCAGCTCAGAGCCTGGAGCCTGTTTCAGATTCTGTGTCTCCCTCTCTCCCTGACCCTCCCCTCCTCATGCTGTCTCTATCTGTCTCTCAAAAATAAATAAAACATTAAAGAATTTTTTAAAACTTAATCACATTATTCACAATGTTTCATCTTCTGCACTTTTACTTAGCAATCTACCATAAACATATATTTCTAAAGCTAGGGTATACATTATATTTCACCATAATTTATTTAACCAACCATCTTTTTTCAGTGTTTTGTTGTTAGCGACAGTGCTGTAGTAAGCCTCCTTGTGCCATAATTCCTTGCAAACTCACCGGACTATTTCCTTAGGATTAATTCCTAGGAACACAAATGCTAGAACAGTGTGCATATTAAGGTTTACTATATATAGTCTAATTGCCATTCAGAATACATCCACCAACCTCCTACCAGCAGAGGTCAGGACTGCCCACGTTCAAATGCCCTGAGTAACATGGAAAACCATCATTTTTTCCTCTTCTTTAGCAACAGGATAGATTCAAAAAGGACCTTCTCATTGTCTTCATTTTAACTCCTGTGTTTGCGAGTGACGTTATATGTTTTCCCATGCTTATCGCCTGTTTTTCTTCTTTAACGAGGGGCTCGCTTTGCCTTCTTTGTAGGAAGCATTTATCTGTTTGTTGTTTATGTGAGTCTCTCATACTCTACGGATAATTACCCTTTCTTAGATGCGTTAAAAGTTTCTCAGTTTGTCTCGTAACTTTGGAGTATTTGGGGAGGCCTTGCCCCTTTGCAAAGGAACTCTCCCCCCATGTCTTAGTGTGCAGTCGCTTTGGCGTGTTTGTGATGGCTCCAGAGGCCTCCAGCAACTGACACTCCTCGGAGAAATTTTTAGCAGTTTCTAGGAAAAGAAAATTTAGGATATAAAACTGTTCAATAGAATTTCACAGAGCCTGTTTTGATCAGTTAATTACCAACAAACTATCATGTTACACGACACAGCCTGTCAAGTCTTGTGGATTTCAACAAACAGATGCTCTTTGCGTTGCATTTGTTTCAGGTTTCAAACAATTGACTGAGAGTTTATATAAGCCCATTTTTTTCTATTTTATTTTATTATTATTATTTTTTTAATGTCTTATTTATTTTTAGGAGAGAGAGAGAGAGACAGCGTGAGCAGGGGAGGGTCAGAGAGAGAGGGAGTCAGAGACTGAAACAGGCTCCAGGCTCCGAGCTGGCAGTCAGCACAGAGCCCGACGCGGGGCTCGAACCCACAAACCGTGAGATCATGACCTAAGCGAAAGTCGGATGCTTAACTGACTAAGCCACCCAGGCGCCCCTATTTTATTATTTTTTAAGAGACTGTTTTTAAAAAATTTTTTAGTGTTTATTTTATTTTTGAGAGGGAGAGAGTACAACCAGGGAGGGGCAGAGAGAGAGGGAGACACAGAATCTGAAGCAGGCTCCAGGCTCTGAGCTGTCAGCACAGAGCCCAACATGGGGCTCAAGCTCACAAACCGTGAGATCATGACCTGAGCCGACGCTTAACTGACTGAGCCACCCAGGCGCCCCTTTTGTTACTAGTTTAAAACCTGCCCCTGGACAAACAATGGCTTGTCACATGAATGGAGTAATATCTAATACCTCTCTGCTCACATGCTCTTAAATGTGCTTTTTCACCCTTTAAATGACAGAGCAAACGTTGAATGCCACCTGATTATCAAATTATTATTAAATGAAATTGAAGTTATTACTTTATATATTCACCCAAAGTGGTATTTTTTTATGTATTTCAGCTACTTTACCACAAAAATAAGCTAACAGTGAACTCTAAACATTTCTGCACATCAAATTAGCTTCTAATTTTTTCAAAATGTACAGATATGGGAGGAGAGAGGTTCTTTCTCTCAAAACTAAATAAACTTTAAAAAGTTTTTTAAAAATACACATTTGACCCACTTTCGATAGACCTATTGTGGCATTTTAAATTCACCTATTTTTCTGTTCAAATTATTTTATGTATATGTTTCACATGTCAAAATGATCAACATAATTATCGTTTTATTGGCTGCAAAGTATTCCAGCAGGTTGATACCCCATAGATGGTTTTATTTTTTTTAATGTTTATTTATTTATGAGAGAGATGAGCAGAGCAAGGGCAAGGCAGAGAGAAAGGGAGACACGGAATCCGAAGCAGGCTCCAGGCTCCGAGCTGTCAGCACAGAGCCCGACGCGGGGCTCGAACTCACAAACCACGAGATCAGGACCTGAGCCAAAGTCAGATGCTCAACCTCCTGAGCCACCCAGGCGCTCCTCCCATAGACGGTTTTAGAAAGTTCATTGGTTCACAAATTCTCCTCAGCTCATATCAAGCATTATTCGGTGCTGTTCTGTCTCCTCTGTCCCCACTCGTTCTTTTCCTCACCTTCTTCAACCTCAGGCAGGAGCCGCCTGCATCCTTACCGTCAGGCACACTCAACCAGAAGGTAGATGGAACCGAAAGCACACATCAGTGGTGTACAATTTCCCATGAGGACTGCTCTCTATTTGGTCTCTGGGAAATTCTGTTTTCATGGATGCAAAGAATCACGTGTTCTCCCTCAAGAGCTGTAATTAACCAGAGAGCTTCTTTGCTGCCCTGGTGGTGAGCTCAGCCCCCGGGAGCACCCTAAGGGGAATCCTGCACAATGTCCAAGAAACGGTGAGGGTGACTTTAGCTGCTGACACATCAGTTGACACTTCTTAGATTTTTCACGGTATCACTCAACCATTAGTATCTTTAAAGGGAGACATGACCCATATGTATTTTAAATTTTTAAAATTTTTTTATTAGCAAGAGAGCATGAGCAGGGGAGAGGGGCAGAGGAAGGGAGAGAGAGATACAGAGAGAGAGAGAGAGAGAGAGAGAGAGAGAATCTCAAGCAGGCTCCACACTCAGCACGGAGCCCAACGCGGGGCTCGATCCCATGACCCTGGGATCGTGACCGGAGCCGAAATCAAGAGTTGGACGCTCAACCCACTGAGCCACCCAGGAGCCCCTAAGATTGATTCCGTTAAATGATACCAACTAATATTTTTATAACACGCATCAGGGAACATTTTAATTCTTCATTTTCATATTTCTGCTTTCTCAAAACTGCCAGGCATTTGCCAGAACTTTACACTTTACCCTGTTCAGAAAGTGTTCCAGAAACACTCCAGTTTATATTGTGTTCTCCGACGTAGGCACCTCATCTAGCTGAGCACACAATCATCGGACATCTGTCCTTTCAACCAAATGCACTGGCTCATTCCCTCCCCGATATTTGGAAACTCCTACCCAGCAACCCCCTTGCCACTCCCAGCAAGAATCCGGCCCCCACCAGCCACCATGTGACCCAGGTGCAGAACCCCCGCTCTTGGTTCCCCCCCACTTCTGGGGCCATCGTCAGAGGTGGAGAGATTACACGTCTACTTTATTGACACACATGAGGAAGCATCTAACTCTGACTCAGCATTCAGAAGACATCGTGCTGAGATGTCTAGGAGTGATTTCTCATTTCCCTCAACAATACCGGGAGGTGGGAATTACCACGGTCTGTACACCTGGAAACGGAGCCGGAATTAGGGAACTTGGCTGAGCTAAGAAACGCGCGTGCGTAGCTAAGACTGGAAGCCAGGTTTGAATCACATAACAGCCAAGTGTTTTCTCTGGTAACTAAGTTATCGCTAAATATAGGTTTTTATATATACAGGTAGTTATGCATACACAATCATATATATACATATGTGTGAGTACATATGTATATATACGTGCTATCAATCATACATAAAAACATGTACAAGTCCTCCAGCCTTCACTGAGCTATCCCTGCAATCCTGAGCCGGCAGAAGGGCATGGGTGGGTGACTGGAGCTCTTCCCAAATGCCCTGATGTGTCCTTGTTCGGTGTTTGATATGCAGGGAGGCCAAAGGACCAGCCCAGCCAGTGGAGAAGACAGGAGACAAGGTGCTGGAGGAGATGAAGACTCTGCAGAAGAAAGCTCTCAACTCGTACCTGATTCTAGGGTAAAATTGCCAGGATGTCAGTCCCTCCCGTTTGCTTTCTGCTGCTCCCCGTGGTCCTTTGTGTCCATGTACATCGTAGCCATTGCTGGAATTCACCTTTCCAGAGGGTAACATTGAAAAATGGGCGATGTATATGTTTTTCAGTAATAATCTTTCTTTTTAAAAATAAAATGTCACTAGGGGGATGACAGTGTCAGAAAGTTCTTGGTGCAAGAGTTAGTGCTGGCACGAAGACTTCTTGGATAAGTCCTGGGCCGCCAGCCAGAGAGCCAGAAGCCGGTGCTAAGTAACGGCTGATCCCGAGAGCCCCTTTCAGAGGTGTGGTGGCCGGGGTGGAGGTCGGGGGCTTCAGAGCAGGGTTGCTCTCTCACCTCTGCACGGAAGCAGTCCCCGCGACCCCTGAGGGTCCCAGCCTCGGTAAGGACCCTGGCTCGCCAAGCATCTGGGGGACGGCACACGCTAGCGAGCGGGGGCTAGAAACACCGGGGACACAGGGAGCCACCCGAGCTTACAGACCGGTTTGGAAGCAACTGGAAAATATCCCTCTGGGAACTCTAGGAATCACTCGAGGCAAAAGGTCATTGCCAAGGGGTCATGAATCCCTGTGAACGCATCAGCGAAACCGTTTAGATTGTGTTTGTTAACGTGACTCCATTCATTTGCAGAAGCTCGTAAGACTGACGGCATCTGGGTTATAACAACCCATAATTATCCAAGTATATTTGGATGTATTCCCTCCATGCCTTTTTCTGTGCGTAGCTGTTATCAGACTATATGTACAGTTTTAAAAGAGCTCTTCGTTAACTCATTGATCCTGACATTTTTTTCTGGGATTTGTCTTTCCATCATGAAACCAAAACTCTTTAGGGACAGGACCTACAGTGTGCTTGAGGCAATTCACATACGTTAGACAATTAAATGTTGCTAATGACCATTTCCTAGCTGTCAGTATGATAGGGGCACAAGGGAACTTGGGTCTGTGAAACCCATTTCTTTAGTGCTCTTTTAAATAAAATTTTTAAAAAATCTTTATTTATTTTTGAGAAAGAGAGAGAGAGAGAGAGAACCAGTGGAGGAGGGGCATAGAGAGAGAGGGAGACAGAATCCAGCGCAGGCTCCAGGCTCTGAGCTGTCAGCACAGAGCCTGACGTGAGGCTTGAACCCACAAACGACGAGATCATGGCCGGTCACTCAACTGACCGAGCCCCCCCGCCCCCCCCCCCCCCCCACTTACTGTTCTTAAAGGCTAACCCAGCCCCCGTGCAAAGCAGCACTTTGCATCATTCATTCACCCACCAAGTCCCCGTGGGGAATGCCCCAGGGAGAGGGAGACACCGGCAGCACCAGGCACCAGCCACAGCAACTCCTCACAACTGGGGTCGCCAGATACAACGGCGCCCACTTGAAACTAGATTTCAAGTATCAACAAATAACATTTTACTGTAAGCATGTCCCAGTAGGGCATGCGCTCTTTGGGACATATTACACTAAAAAAGGAAAAGAAAAAGAAAAGAAAAGAAAAAAGAAACTCATTGTTTATCTGGAATTCACATTTAACTGGGCGCCCTACATTTTTATTCGCTGGATCTGCCGCCATCACTCAACACCCAGCAGCGATGGGATGCGGAGGCGAATGAAAGCTGGGGTGGCCGAACGGGTCGGGGGCAGTGGCTACCGCGGGAGTCGCGGAAGCGGGAGGCAGGCTCTCGGAACCATAACTCCAGTTCCTTTTCCCCGGAGGCCACCATGCGCCAGGCCCTCTGCTGGCCCAGAAGGGGGGATCCAGCACCCCAAGTTCATTCCAGCCTTCCTTTCCCCTCCTTTGTGAGGGAAAAGTGATTACACTGCAGATAAGGAGAGCACGGCTGTCACTTCCGTGTTCACTTTTAGCGGATCCATGAAGGCACGTCACAACTGCTCACCCGTCTCCCTGTGAGAAACATTTTTTCTTAAACGTTTACTTATCCATTTTGAGAGAGATGAGAGAGGGGGATGGAGCATGCCCGCGGAGGGGCAGAGAGCGAGGGAGGGAGAGAATCCCAAGTGGGCCCCATGTTGTCAGCACAGAGCCCGATGTGGGATGCAAACTCACACCCGTGAGATGGTGACCTGAGCCAAAATCAAGAGTTGGACGCTTAACCAACTGAGCCACGCAGGCGCCCCCAAGAAACATATCTTTTTTTTTTTTTTTAAATTTTTTTTTTTTTTTTTTTTTTTT